TAATAATATTTAGAATTTTTATTATAAAGGAAATTATGGTGTAGAAACAAGAAGGGCTAAATGGTAAAGTAATGTGGAATAAGTGAGGACATGATGGGAAGACCAATATTAGGGGTCCAAAGGTTAAGCTTGGTATAAGGAAGGTTTGAGAATTTTGATCGCTCATTCCATACGATAGTTTTTGGGAGAAAGAGGCAGAGGCGGAGATAGGGCACAGAGAGGCAAGAAGGAGCATAGTAGTTTCGGTAGAGCACGAAGAGGATTCGATTGCTAGCAACAGTTTCTAAGGTAAGGGGTTTAATCGCGTTTATAATAATTGATATTGGGTTAAAGTGTTGGTAGATTGTGTTTTGTGTGTTAATTTTGACGAGAATTGATGAAATTGGGGAAATACCGTGTGTTGAATGAATGAATGAATCCTTAATAAATATGTGATGTTAGGACCTTTAAATAAGTGTTATAGGCTGTTAAGAATATTGTATAACCATAGGATTTCGAATTCTGAAACCGAGACTTTTTACGGAATCGAATTTGGAGGTCTGAAAGGCCTCCAACCATGGAAAATCGCAGGAAGGAGAATTGTTGTCTGGTTAGCATCACCGGGCGAAGCATAGGCGATGCAAAGGCGACTCAAGCGTCGTCGGGCGATGCAAAGGCTGCACCGGGCGACGCACGGCAGAAGCGATGCAGCAGAAATCTTCAAAATATCGTAACTTGAGTTTCAGAAGTTCGTTTTACGCGCCGTTCAAAGCGCTTGAGAGCTAACGTGATGTACTATATTAAGATTGAATTACATGAGTGTTTTGATGCATTATTTTAATATATATATATATATATATATATATATATATATATATATATATATATATATATATATATATATATATGTTTATGAGATTGATTGATTACATGTTGCTATACTATGATGTGTTATTTTAATGATAAACATGATGTTGATTATGATGTTTTACCGTGCTTATTTGTTAATGATGTTGTTGTGACGTGAATGATGTGATTCATGATTAAAAATTTGGTGATATGCGTGTGCAAATATAATACATGCTATTGTGGTGATTTTATGATGGTTTTGGTGATATGTTGTATTGCGAAGAACTCGTATTGAAATTGATGAAAGTACTATGTTGAATTGCCATGAGGTTGTGTATATAATGTTTATAATATTGTGTAGTTGTTGTATAGTGATTCTATGTTGAAAACTAAGAGGATTGTGAGTGTTTTGGTGTAAGATTGCAAGAGCATTTGGGACTGAACAGGTGCAGGATCTCAATGGGTAATTGTTTTCTAGTGTGCATCATCGGGCGATGAAAGAGGTGTCGCTGGACGATGGAACTTTGCTAGGCCGCCGCTAGGAAAAAGTAGGAGGCGATGGAAGGCACAAAAGATGATGGCTACTAGAGTGCTTCGCTCGCACCTTCGCTAGTCGATGTAGGAGCGAAAGGAGTTTCGTTGGGCGAGCAAGAGTCTTCGTCGGGCGATGGTGTCCAGAATTGAGACGTTGAGTTGGACTTTCTTATAAGAGTCATAACTTGAGTTTTAGAACTCGGTTTGAGGTGTCTTTCGAAACGTTGGATAGATAACATGATGAAATTTATTTAGGTGTAGTAAAATGAAGAATAGGAAGTATATCCTCAATATCTAGATTAGAATGAAGTTAGGTTCCCCGTGTTGGATTATGATAATGATGGTTTATAAAAGATGATTAGAAGATAATAATGATGATACCTTATATAATATGAGGACACGATGATGGCTTGTATGTTATGATGATGCTTGGATACTATAATGATTAGTCGATGATAATGATGTCATGATGATGATATGATTGTTTTTTATGGTGATATGATGTCATGATGATATGATGATAATGATGTTGTGATGATGATATGATTTTTTTGATGATGCTATGGTGATAATGATGTTGATGGCCAAAATTGCATAGTGTTGAAGGCTTATGCCTTGCGGTTGTATAATTGTGTTGTTGCATGTTGATGTTGCATGCATTCATTGGTGAGGGCTTATGCTCAGTTGTTGGCCTGGAATAGCGTTGTGTTGAGGGTTTATGCTCAGGTGTTGTCCAATGGCACTATGTTGGGGGCTTACGCCCTGTTGGTACCACATGCATTTAGTTGTTGTCAGTTGCATTGCATTGCACTACCTTAACTTGATATCGTGTTGTTTGAATGAAGAATGTGTTTTCGATGATTTATGATGAAGATGTGCATATGTTATTATGATACAAAGGTGTGAGTATAATACTTGGTAAATGATGATGTACATATTTCATGATTGGTTTTGTTTATAACAACTATATCTTTTCCTTATATCTTTTGTAATGAATTGTGATTACTCACCCTTTGTGTTTGAATGTTGCCTCTACGTGTGACCGGGAATAGTTCGTAGAAGCGTGAGGATAGCTTGGAGTCTTTAGTGTGTTTCTTTTGGATAGAGACGGTCTTGCTCTACAGGATTTGGGAACTTGCTATATTTTGGCATTGTTTTATTCTTACGTATCTTAATTCAAGCTTATGTTGAACGACAAGTTTTGTGGAGAATGTTGTTATTAAAGTCGCGGTGATATGGAAATGAATAATTGGATATTTCCGCTGTGTAAATGATTCTTTTATGAGAAATGAAATAATAAATTGATTTGAAATGTTATGAGTTTTTAAAGATGTGGCATCTTACTTGTGTACTCTGATATATTTTCATATATTATTATAATTATTTATATGGGAAAGTGGGGTGTTATAAAGATCAAATCCGAGAGCATTAAGGTTGGAGGAGACTTGTCTGAGTCTCTACGAGAGGCGTTGAAGGTTGAAGGAATGCCTACAATGAAACCATAATCTACTCGTGTGGTCAACAAAGGAGATGACAGGCTTTAGTCTTGAAATAGTCGTTGAAACTTTGACCCTTCGGGATGTCGTCCCTTATGTAGCACAATGTAAAAGGAAACAAGCACCAAAACTTCTGAATCAACTAAAAGGGTTGTGGAAAAGTTCCTCAAGGTTGGATCCACGACCGAGGAAAAATGTGTGATGTGGTTGTCCAATGTAGTCTTGGTGTGAAAATCCAACATGATCGTCATATTAAGGAGAAAGAAGAGCACATAGCTTATTTAAAGATCATATTTGAACAAGTTAAAAAACATTGGATGCGGTAAGGTCCGGCTTATAGGTAGAAAAATAGAAATTAATCTAAACAAATGCATAGCAGTATCAATGTGACATGACTCATGACCAAGAAAGACTTTCAAAGGCTAAACTACATATTAGAATCTTTGTTTAGATTCATCACCAGATTAGTCTATCATGGTTACCATTTTACAAATTCCTAAGAAAAGAAGCAACTTTCGAGCAAATACTAACGTGCGACGCCACGTTTACAAAGCTCGAGGAAGTGGTTTCACAACCTACCATACTAGTCCATCCTAGTGAAGGGGAACCCCTTTTTGTCTATCTCCAGTCTCTCCTAAAATAGTAGGGGTCGTCTTGGTACGAGAAAGTACCTTTTCTCATGACTCGACATACTTCATACGAAAAGTATTGTAATGGCCTGTTACAAAAAGAAGAAAAGAATCGCCCTAATAACAGCATCAAGAAAATTGAGACAATATTTCTTTGCCAATTCTGTGGAGTAGAAAAAGATTATCCCATCAGTAAGATTTTAGTACTAACCATTGATTGGTATCTCTAGCACTAACCATTGGTTGCTATGAGTTCAATTTATAAGCTTTATTTTATTATCTTCTACAAAGTAGTGACCGAGTTATGCTATGAAACGGATTAGTTTGACTCTATGTGCTTTTGTAGAAAACATTAAAAGATGATTGTCTTATAGTCGTTGGCTCCTCTACTTTTTCCTTATATGTATTTTGTGGCAACCAATGTGTCAATATCTAGTACAACTCAATTATGCTAAACAAATCGATACTTCATTATTCCATTGAGTCTAATATTAAATTTATTTATGTATTAAAGATATTAGTTGTTTTGCCACAAGTTTAAGTTGGTGACCACTTTTGATTTGCAATATCTGTCAACGTGTACCACAAGATAATTCACGGCAACATATATAAATCTATAATAATCAATCAAAGACAGCGTGTTACAAAATATGCTGTGGCATATTACAAGTGGAACAAAAAATACAATCCATATAAGTCTTATTAGGCCTTGTGTTTAGTTTGCTAGCTAATCGTGTTGTTTTCTCCTTGGAGTATTAATTATTGAGCATCACTAATGAATGGGAGGGGCGTATTTGCTCTTCTAATCTTATCATGATTAAGAATCCTTGAATCGCAATTTGTTGTTTACTCAGTGGAGACACTGCTTTAGAAAAGTGTCAATTGCCAAAAAAATAATGATAAAGTGAATAAACAAGGTTAGATTGAAAAATAATTAGTGTCCTTTCATTATTTGTTTAGGATTAAAAATTTTGAAAGCTAATTTGTGATAGCAAAAGCACCAACTCTCAGGCTATCATAATCATTGGGGATGTGGTTTATTTAGTTTGTGAATTTTTATTGCAAAAATGCTAAACTACTTCGAACTAGTTCAATTCATTTCAAAAAGTTCTTCCAAGACATTACCTAAATTACGTGACTAACTAAATTCTGTGGGATTTTTCAGGAAATAGAATGGATTCACTGAGTTATGTTTTATTGATAAAAAGGATTTTATTTGTCAATCTTACATCCTAGTTTACCCTTATGTAGAAAACCAGACACTCTTAATTGAAAGGGCTTTCCATTGGTTAATTGCTTTTAACACAATTCATTATGAAAATTCAACATCTATTTCAGAAAGAATTGGGATGAGTTTCTACAAAAGTTACAGATAATTGTTGACCCGTGTGAATCAGAAAGCATTGGGATGAGTTTCTACAAAAATTACAGATAATTGTTGACCCGAGTGAATCAGAAAAAATATGCATCCTATGTTAGATTGGGAAGAAGAAAAAAATCACCTACTAATTCATCAACCAAAACCAGGCGGTACTTCAGGGTCTTCATCACTGCAATCAGCTACTGGACTATGCTCCATTTCTTTTGAAAATCCAGGAGGTGCAATGTTATGATCATCTTCAACAAGTGTATCCTGTGATGGGTGTGAATCTACCTTGCATCCTTGCCTCTGAACTTGTGCATTCCCTTTATTATCCTGATCCTTGTGGTTGTTATTATTTGGATGATTCAGTAAGAGAGTGAAACCTGGTGGCTCTTGCGGCTCATTTTCATGCAAAGAGTCGCCATTCTCCATAGCTGAAGCTGTTTCACCCTGACTAGGCATTGCATCAGATGTTGATAACAGAACTTCATCTTTCCCTTTGGGGTTTGCAAGTTTATCATAGACAGATTGCACCGTTTCCGTGATTTCACCTTTCATGCCATCATCTGATCTGATTATTTGCCATAAACTATCCGATAAGTGGCTCATTACTTTCTCACTGAAAAAAAAAAAAACAATTAGAAGCAAAATAAAAATACAGTTCTCACATAACCTCCAACTGACCCAACTATACTTGGAAGGAAGGTATGCAATAGATTCACAAAATTATTGAAAACAAAATGCAATTTCAGTAGGAACACGTATCAAGAGTACAAGAGTGGAAATGAAATATACAAAGACACTAGATGGGGGAAAACTTACCCAACTTCTTCAAATATGACATCACAAAGCTGTCTAGGTTTCATATTTTCTGCTCCAGCGCGATTGAGCACCTCGGACTGTTTAACAATTGAAGTAATATGTTGTCGAAGCTCTTCCTGTCATGAATCGTCAGATTCAGAATTGTTTTAGGTGTTTTTAAAAAATTAGAAAATCCTCAAACTCATTAACCAAATGGTCCATTACACAAAGCCATAAAAAGTCAATAACAAATTATTTCAAATCTATCGCATGTCTGATTGAGAATATTACTATCATATTCATAGCCTGGTAAGATATAGATTATATCAAAAGAAGCACAAATTTGAAAATTTCATATAATTAGGGAATTTGAAGCAAAACTTACATTCTCCTTGAGCTTACGAATGATCTTTAAACGAAGCTTATCAAAGTCTCCATCGTCCTTGAGTTTTGCAATAACCTCTTCTTTGCCAACCACAACTTCTCCTTGTCCACTGCTTCCCATCACCCACAGCCCTGCGTTGTAACACAAATAAACTCACCCTTCTTTCTACTTTCTTCTCTGCAACTTGTCAAACTCCTCTCTTTCTGCTACAGATATGGTAACTCCTGCACGATTAACCAAAAATATGTTATAATAATGCTGGAAAAAGATTTGTGCTTAGTTTATAACTGAAGTAGGGTATTTTATATATAAGTTTTCAAGATATTCCAGTTAATTTTCACAGCTTTTGTTTACAGCTAGCATCAGTTCAACTCGCAGCTTTAGAAATATTTCAAAATTTCAAAATGGTCCATCAGTGCCAGCATGTCACTTAACATGACACATCATCACTTCAATCGAAACTAACATAGGGACTAACTTGATCAAAGTTTTGATAAGTCAGATACTATTTTGGAATGTCAATAAAATAGGAGACCATGTTGATACTGGATAGGAGTACGAGTACCCCATGTGAGAGAGACCATGGTTTTAAATTTCAGTTTGCAACCGCAAATGCGGTCCCAGTGAATTAAAACCATGCGTCTGGTCACCTTTAGAAATATCACATCAAACAATTTCGCTCATATTGCTTTAAGTATTTTTATCAAAACTCAATATTTCAAAATCCCATAACTCAATTTACTCCCTATGTAATGAAAAATCTTAAAGTTCTACCATAAAGAGGAGTAAATTGAAAATTCATGAATGGAACAAAAACTCATATAGATACACGATGCAATTCATAAATTCAACCTTGAGAACAACTTGATTTTTCTGTAAAACTAAAATTGGACAATTGAAAGCTCGGCCAAAGATAAATGAAACAAACCCTAGAAATTTGAGCATGGAAGTTTAAGAAACGTACCGAATATAATTTATGATGAGAAACTTGGACTAACGATGGATCAGAGAGTGAAGGTAAGCTGCGTCGTTGCAAGGAGGAGACACGGCGGAGCAAAACGGCGAGGGAAGTGACGCAACCGCCTCTGTCAAGCGTTCTCAACCAAATGGCTCTCTTCTCACGTGTCAATCATGATTAGTTGGGCTACTGTTAATGGGCCCTGAATAATAATTTATAAATAATTGGGCTTCCAGAAATGAGAATTTCTTTGTACATCTATTAAAGTGGTGAAAAATCTATTAAAGTGGTGAAAAATTTCTGAAAATTCGAAAATATCTTTTAGAGATGTATTTTCAAAGGCATTACAAATTAAGGTGTTTCAGATATTCATTTTCGAATGCACTCAAAATAAATTTTGAGTAGAATTCGGAAATGCACTTTCGAAAATACATTGTTTCAAGTCAAACGTTAAATTTAAACACTTACACATATTTTCGGATATGTATTTCTGAAATTATGCAACTTATACCACCTTGTTGCATAGACTATTTCATTCTCTTCAACTCATTCCATAATCAAAACCCTCTAGAAAACTTAATTCATTGTCAATCAATTTTTCGTCTCCAGACCAAATTTCAAGTGTTTTATCATGTCAAAGAGAGCATAGAAAGCTGCAAATTAAGGTAAATTTTCCTCATTTCATCTCTCAATTCCTTGCATTGATGCTGATTTTTTAGATAAAAATTGCATCACTTCGGAAATGTATTTCTGAAACCCACCTAACCTATTTTGGGAGGACGGTTTGATGAAAAACTCTGATTTGATTACTATGGTTCTACGAAGGACGTTACATCGAGTATTACCATCGCAACCGAGTTGGAAGTGATCATGTACAGATTTTTTTAAAGAGGAGGACACTATGAGATTGCAAATTGAAGAACAACTGAGAAAAATCGTCTATCCAGAAACCACTGATATGAAACTTCATTACAACCGATAAAAACCAAAGGTGTTCCTAAAAAGTGTAAAAGTACACAAGATGACAGTTCAACAAGGCAGACTCCGTCTTACCTGAAGTTGTTGATTCACATTTCCCAGACTCTCCAAGCCCAAAATGGAAAAAAAAAGTGTTTTCAAAGGAGCTCCCATTTCCAAACCACCTTGTACACATCCGATCAAAATTCCATCAATTCCACTGTCGATTATTCACATTTATGAGATATCAGTTTTTACGCACAAACACATTGAAGAATCGTAGATGTGGGGCTGGTAATTATGGGTTTTTGGTTGTATCCAATTTATTTGGTAAAGGTGAGGACAACCACACTATTATACGACAAATACTTATTTCGGAATTGACGGTGCATATGGAAGATTACATATAACTATATGAGGGTAAGAAACGTTTCAATAAAATTCATAACGCTCTTGTTCCAAATCTTACCGATTCCGCACCACCTGACAAGTGGATGTGCTTTCCTGAAATTGGTCATCTTATAGCAAGTGCATATGACAGGGTGTGTATTCATCTCACGAGATATAGTTTTTCGAAGACGTTTTTTCCACTACGAAGTTGCCCACCTCAAGACCCATTCGACCGCATCATTTGTATTGGGTATCTTAGATCGCCCCATTTTGTTCAAGTATTTTTGAATTCGGGATGTCATATTCCGGCTACGTTAGTGCAATGTACGACACATTCTGCAAAAGAGTAAGAAACTTGGCCGAATCATTTCTTGGAAAGGATGGCCGAATTCACCAAGTTGTCGGAACTTGAGAGAGACTCAAATAGGGAGAAGTCGAAGAAAGACCGGTTTTAGATTTAAGCGGTAACCATTCGCTCGGTACATTTTAGAATATAATCGAATCATTTTTGTATGTATTGTCGTGTATAATGTAATCGAATCATTTTGGAAAATATTCATATGATTCAATACATATATAATATATTTATTCAACATTTGATCGATTTATACATTTTACCAATTTTTACTTTTACCGACTAACTTGTGAATTTATCTTTGATTAGTATTATTCTGCCAAGATACAGTTCTGTCCCTGCTTAATTCGGAAATACATTTTCGAAATTAAAAAAAACAATTAGGGAATGTTTCCGAAGTGTACTGCGAAAAATACCCTATTTTTATTTTAAAAAATGGGTTATTTCAGAAGTGTATTTCTGAAACATGTTCTGACACAAGATAAGAATTCTTGAGACCAAATTGCTCCTAATATTCTATAAATAGGGTGTCTAAATCATTTCTTCAACATCATACACTATCAATCAGACATCACACACCACAAATCAGATATGACACAAACATATATTCACCTTGCTTTTGTTTACTTCGGTGATACGAAGCCACCACTTTAATTTAGGTTCTGCGATGACACGCCTCTCGCCGAGCTCATTACCATACTCAACTCTCTCTTGCAATATTCCGAAAATCAGAGGATAGTCAAGCTCGAGTATCATTCACCATCACTTGACACTGGAGGAAAGGTCAAGTTCATCAAGTTTGAGCTGAAGACAGATGACGATTTAAAGGTTATGTGGAGTACTTTTCACCAATACTCTACTAAGGGTTTGATTGAATTGGATGCAAAGATTCAGAGATTCGATGAAGATATTATCAAAATGTTGCGACGTCCTCAGTTACCCGTTTATAACAATATGTAATGTTAAATTTATGTTTTAATATCTATGTAATTTCGACTTTCAATGTTAAATTAATTTTATTGTTTATGTAATATCTATGTAATATCAATGTTTCAACATCTATGTTATATCTATGTTTCAAGATCAATGTTTTAATGTTTCTGTTATGGAGAAATCATTCAGTGTTTATTTCGGAAATGTACATCTAAAATAAAGCATTGGGTATCTTCGGAAATACATCTCTGAATTCATCCTAAAAAATGATATTTCGTAACTTCGGTAATACATCTCCGAAATCACCCCAGAAAAATAAACTCTAGTGCTTTCGGAGATACATCTTTGAATTATGGTGAAACACAATTTCGCCAGAGGTGGCTAAGAAGGTGTAAGGGTGGGAAAAGAAATTCTCTTAGAAATCTTTCTGATATCACTCAATCAAGAGCATTTAACTTGACACCCCTCTTTTTTTTTTCTTTTCCAAAAATGTCTCTGTTACTATTTATTTCTAAATTTTTTATATTTTTCAAAAAAATTACAATCAAGAGATGAAAAACTAAATTTTCGATACATTAACAAAAAAAAATTTACACAAAAATTGCATTTTTATCATAAATAAGAAAATTTATCGAAAAATTTATCAAATGTTTCAATCAATCCAATATACCGCATATTTACTAACATCTCTTAAAAATCTAATAGCATTATTTTTGAATGATCATGTGTTAAATTTTAACCTATCAAAAATTTTAAAATATTCTATCACACTCTTGCATATATTGATAATTTTTAAATTTTTAACTAATATATGTATTTTTATCAAAAAATTTCAAAATATTAGTAAAAACTCATATAAACATATCACATATTTTAAAATTACTGATAAAAATTTAAACAAAATTTTAGATTACTAAACATTTTAAAATTGTCAATATAAATTCATAATTTTGATATTGGGAATTTTAAAAGTTTGATAAAAAAAAAATATGATTTGATATAAATTCATAATTTTGATATTGGGAATTTTAAAAGTTTGATAAAAAAACATGACTTTTATTAAATATCGATATTCTATCAAAATTGACGTTATTAATTGAAATATCTAATGCATATAAATAAAAAACTTATGGAATGTTTCAAAAAAATTTAATATACCAAAATTTCTGGCATCCTTTAAGAATCCCATAGTGTTATCATACACCTGCATACAAAAATTGACGTACTAAATTTAAAAAAAAAATATTTGGTCACATTTTACATATACCATCAAAACTCTAAACATTGGATATGTTTATATAAATTTTTACCAGTAATTTCAAAATTGTGTATTTTTATCGATAATTTCAAAATTGTTAATAAGACTCATAAATATGTTGTATAGTTTTTAATTTCCAATAAAATTGAAAACAAAATTTTGAATTTTAATAGATATTTCAAAATTATCGGTATACATCCATAAATTTAGTATCAGTTATTTCAAAATTTGATAAAAAAATATTATTTTTATAAAATATCTAGCATCCTATCAAAATTATTAATATAAATTTATATTTTCTTGAAACTCCAGGAAATGAAAATAATACTGTCAATAGTAAATGTTATATTTTTTAACTATAAAAGTATTATAATTTAAATGTCGGTCAATTCTCATAAAAAATGCGGAATCTAGAGGAGACGTTCATGGAATAAAGATTTATAAGAATGTCTTTATAATATCACATTTACTCTTTGTTGATGACTGTTTTTTATTTTTCAAAGTTAATTCCAATGAAGCTGTTGAGATGAAGAATATCCTATCCACCTAGGAAGAAGCTTCCGGTCAAGCTATCGATTTGTAAAAGTCCGAGTTCTTTTGTAGTAGGAATGTTACTCCGAAAACTAAGAATTGTTTGGTCGATATCCTTGGGGTCCAGCAAGTTTTGGGAACAGGTAAATGCTTCAGTATTCCGTCCATGATAGGGAGAAGTAGAAAAGCAACTTTCAAGTATATAAAAGACAAAGTTTGGAAGAAAATTAACTCATGGAGCAACAAAAGCCTATCTCAAGCGGGTAGAGAAATCCTTATCAAATCGGTTCTCTAAGTCATTTCTTCTTACATTATGAGTATATTCTTACTACCCTCCCCACTTAGTGATGAAATCGAAAAAAGGATGAATTCATTCTGGTGGGGGCATAATCAAGACAACTCAAAAGGTTTGAATTGACTCTCTTGAGATCGTTTATCTATAGCAAATTTTTTTGGAGGTATGGGGTTTAAAAGTCTCAATGCTTTCAACTATACTATGCTGGGAAAACAAGCGTGGAATCTTATGACTAAACCGAACACGCTTGTCACCAGACTCTACAAAGCCAGGTATTTCCCCAATAATGATTTTCTTGATTCAGGTATCAAACACAATCCTAGCTATGTGTGGAGAAGTATCTGGAGCTCAAAGTTTGTTGTTCGTGGTGGTTCCAAATGGAGTATAGGCTCGGGTGAGAACATTTCGGTATGGAATCAAAGTCGGTTGCATGACAATTTGTCATTGAGGAATCCACGGCGGAACATTCCTACTGTATCTAATTTGAAAGTGGCGGATTCGATGAATCCAAATGGGAAGAAATGGAATTCTAATATGATTGTATCATTAGTAGGTGAAGAAGCAGCAAATAAAATCCTTAATACTCTTCTTTTCGAGGCGGTCAAGGATGACAAAATTGTTTGGCAATTTGACAGAAACGGTAGCTATACAGTGCGTAACACATACCATTTTTGCATTGAAGAAGCTATTGATACCTCGCACCTCAAAGTAAATGAGAATTGGGACTTAATTTGGAAGTTAAAAACACCTCCAAAAGTTAAAAAATTTATGTGGAGGCTATGTAGAAATTGTATATCAACTAGAGTGCACCTTAATAATAAAGATGTGAATTGTCCTACTGACCGTTGCATCTGTGGGGATGAAGAAGAAAGTATTGAACACTTATTCTTACAGTTTCCAAAAAGTAAAGATTGTTGGGAGAAAGTTGGTCTATGGTCGAAGTTACAACAACTGCAGAATATTCATGTTTCTTTGATTGCTGTTGTTTTTTCATTTTTACACGCTGCTAATCACGATCAGCGGGCTGTTTTCGCTACAACTTTGTGGAGTTTATGGAAAAGTAGGAATAACAAGATTTGGAACTAAGTTGTCGATACTTAAGATACTATCTGTAGCCGCACTTCATTTCTTCTTAGTGGTTGGAAAAATGTCAATCAACTGAAGGTCATTAATATTTCTCAGTCTCTACCAATGTCTGATACTAAGTGGAGCAAACCACCGGTGGGCAGCTTTAAATGTAACATAGATGCTTCTTTCTCCAACAACAAGGTTGGTATAGGTACTTGTATAAGACACGATTCTGGTGCGTTTATTGCAGCCCGTACATAATGGTTCTCCCCAATTACAGAAGTAGTGGTGGGGGAGGCTCTAGGTTCGATGGCAGCTATAAAATGGGTGCATAGTTTGGATTATGTGGATTTTGAGATAGACGCAAAAAGTATAGTGGATTGTATGCACAGTTACTACCAAAATTCCACTGATGTTCATTCTATTTCACGGGAATGCAGCCGATTGTTAGCTCACTTATTTACAACTCTCATGTTAAGTTTTTCAGAAGACAGGCGAATGAAGTTGCTCATGCTCTAATAAGGGTGGCTCCATTTCATACTAGTTTTCATACTTTTATTGATATTCCAACATGTATACAAATTCTCATTATTAATGAAATAAATTAAGTTTTCTCTTGTAAAAAAAGTATTATAATTAAATTGGGACATGCATCGGGTATCTGGTTCAAGAGAATTTCTCTTTACACCCAGTAGTGGTGATTTTCACCACTGAAAATCCGAAAATACCCTTCAGATATGCACATTAGAACACACCTATCAACATGTTTCGGATGTGCATATTAGAAGACACCCTTTTTTCACGTTTTAATACTTAAACATTGGATTTTTAATATTTAAGGTGGTTTCAGATATGCACATCC